CCGTCTCAAGAAAAATAAAATAAAATAAAAAGAAAAATAATTAAACTCAAGATGAATTAAAGACTTAAATGTAAAACCTAAAACTATAAAAACCTGAAAGATAACCTAGAAAATACGAAATGGCATAGACCCTGGCAAAGATTTCATGACAAAGATGCCAAAAGCAATTGTGACAAAAACAAAAATTGACAAATAAGACCTAATTATCCAAACAGCTTCTGCACAGCAAAAGAAACTCTCAACAGAGTAAATAGACAACCTACAAAACGGGAGAAAATATTTGCAAACTATGTATCCAACAAAGGTCTAATATCCAGAATCTATAAGGAACTTAAATGAATGTACAAGCAAAAACCAACACCATTAAAAAGTGGGCAAAGGACAATGATATGGTTTGGCTTTGTGTCTCCACCCAAATCTCATCTTGAATTGTAATCCCCACATGTCCACGGAAAGACCTGGTGAAAGGTGAATGGATCATGAGGATGGTTTCCCCCATGCTGTTCTCATGATAGTGAGGGAGTTCTCACTAGAGCTGATTGTTTTAAATGTAGCACTTCCTCATTCTTCCTCTCTCTCTCTCTCTCCTGCCACCATGAGGAGACATGCCTTGCTTCCCCTTCACCTTCCACTATGATTGTATGTTTCCTGAGGCTTCTCTAGCCATGCAGAACTGTGAGTCAGTCCAGGCGCGGTGGTTCAAGCCTGTAACCCCAGCACTTTGGGAGGCCAAGGTGGGTGGATCACCTGAGGTCAGGGGTTCGAGACCATCTGGGTCAACATGGTGAAACCCCGTCTCTACTAAAAATACAAAACTTAACTGGGTGTGGTGGCATGTGCCTGTAGTCCAAGCTACTCAGGAGGCTGAGGTGGGAGAATTGCTTGAACCTGGCAGGCAGATGTTGCAGTGAACCGAGATTGTGCCACTGCACTGCATCCTGGGCAACAGAGTGAGACTGTCTTAAATAAATAAATAAATAAATAAATAAATAAATAAATAAAAGAAGGAGTGTGAGTCAATTAAACCTCTTTCCTTTATAAATTACCCAGTCTCAGGTAGTATCTTTATAGCAGTGTGAAAACAGACTAATACAAACATGAACAGGCACTTCTCAAAAGAAGACATACATGTGGCCAACAAATACATGAAAAAATGCTCATCACTAATCTTTACAGAAATGTACATCACAACCACAATGGGATACCATCTTGTGACAGTCAGAATGGCTATTATTAAAAAGTCAAAAATAACAGATGCTGGTAAGGTTGTGGAGAAAAGGTAACATTTATACGCTTCTGGTGAAAATGTAAATTAGTTGAGCAATTGTGGAAAGCAGTGTGGTGATTCCACAAAGCGCTTAAAACAGAATTACCATTTGACGTAGCCATCCCATTATTGAGAATATACCCAAAGGAATATAATTCATTCTACCATAAAGACATATGCATGCATATGTTTATTGCAGCACTATTCACAACACCAAAAACATAGTATCAACCTAAATGCCCATCAATGGTAGACTGGCTGAAAAAAATATGGCACGTATATACCATGGAATACTACACAGCCATAAAAAAGAATGAGACTATGTCCTTTGCAGCAACATGGATGGAGGTGAAGTCATTCTTATAAGCAAACTAACATAGGAACAGAGAATAAAAAATACCACATGTTCTCTTTATTTTTTGAGACAGAGTCTCGCTGTGTCACCCAGGCTGGAGTGCAGTGGTGCGATCTCGGCTTACTGCAACCTCTGTCTCCCAGGCTCAAGCAATTCTCCTGCCTCAGCCTCCCGAGTAGCTGGGACTACAGCTGTGTGCCACCATGCCCAGCTAATTTTTTGTATTTTCAGTAGAGATGGGATTTCACCATGTTGGCCAGGTTGGTCTCAAACTCCTGACCTCAAGCAAACCCCCGTCTTGGCCTCCCAAAGTGCTGGGATTACAGGCGTGAGCTACCATGCCGTGCCTTTTCTTTTATTTTTATTTTTATTTATTTATTTATTTATGTTTTTGAGACAGAGTTTCGCTCTTGTTGCCCAGGCTGGAATGCAACAGCGTAATCTTGGCTCACTGCAACCTCTGCCTCTCAGGTTCAAGCAGTTCTCCTGCTTCAGCTTCCTGAGTAGCTGTGATTACAGGCATGTGCCACCATGCCCGGCTAATTTTATATTTTTAGTAGAGACAGGGTATCACCATGTTGGTCAGGCTGGTTTCGAACACTTGACCTCAGGTGATCCGCCTGCTTTGACCTCTCAAAGTACAGGGATTACAGGCGTGAGACACCACACCTGGCCGCATATTCTCATTTATAAGTGAGAGTTAAACGAGAACACGTGACACAAAAAGGGGAACAACAGACACCAGAGATTACTTGAGGGTGGAGGGTGGGAGAAGGAGAAGATTAAAAAACTGACTATTGGGAACTATGCTTATTACCTGGGTGACAAAATAATTTGTATGCCAAACCCCCAAGACATGCGGTTTACCTGCCTAGGAATTGGAGGCTGTAGTGAGCCATGATTACACCACTACACTCCAGCCTGGGTGTCAGAATAAGATCCTGTCTCTAAACAAAAACAAAACAACAACAACAACAACAAAATAATGCATTTGCCCCTATTTCTGTGGGGGAGATTACTAGAATGGGTTTGCTAGGCCAAAAAGTATGAACATTTTAATTTTAATAGATACTAATTGCACATATTTTTAAAATTAGGGCTGAGATAAGGAATGTTGTTTAAAAAAATGCCATTACCGGCTGGGCGTGGTGACTCATGCCTGTAATCTCAGCACTTTGGGAGGCCGAGGCGGGTGGATCACCTGAGGATGAGAGTTCTAGACCAGCCTGACCAATGTGGTGAAACCCCGTTTCTACTAAAAATACAAAAATTAGCTAGGTGTGGTGGCATGCGCCTGTAGTCCCAGCTGCTTGGGAGGCTGAGACAGGAGAATTGCTTGAACCTGGGAGATGGAGGTTGCAGTGAGCCAAGATCACACCACTGCACTCCAGCCTGGGTGACAGAGTGAGACTCTGTCTCAAAAAAAAAAAAAAAAAAAAAAAATCGTAAGTCAATCATTTCACTAACTTTATTTAAAATGCTAAGTATATTTATTTGTCAAGCAAAGAACTGGGTTCTTAGACAAGTTCTCATTAACAGTGCTTTTGATGTTGAAAATCCCATGGTTTATTCTGTTTCAGAGCATCTTGTGTCAATTTTTTTTTTTTTTGTGACGGAGTCTCATTTTGTCACCCAGGCTGGAGTGCAGTGGCACTATCTCAGCTCACTGCAATCTCCGCCTCCCGGTTTCAAGCAAGTCTCCTGCCTCAGCCTCCGGAGTAGCTGGGATTACAAGCCTGCGCCACCACACCCAACTAATTTTTGTATTATTAGTACAGACGGGGTTGGCCAGGCTGGTCTCGATCTCCTGACCTCAGGTGATCCACCCGTCTCGGCCTCCCAAAGTGTTGGGATTATAGGCATGAACCACTGCACCTGGCCAAAAATGAATTTTACAAGACAGATCGGTGGCTCACACCTGTAATCCCAGCACTGTGGAAGGCCGAGGCAGGTGGAACACCTGAGGTCAGGAGTTCGAGACCAGCCTGGCCAACATGGCGAAACTCCGTCTCTATTAAAAACAAAAAAAATTAACCGGACATAGTGGCGCATGCCTGTAATCCTAGCCACTCGGGAGGCTGAGGCAGGAGAATCACCTGAAACCGGGAGACGGAGGCTGCAGTGAACCGAGATCCCGCCATTGCACTCCAGACTGGGCAAAAAGAGCGAAGAAACTCGACCTCAAAAAAAAAAAAAAAGACACATCACATCAAATATTTAGTGGAAAGAGAGCTCTGCACTTCCTAATTAGAAGATCTGAGGGCCAGGTGTAGTGGCTCACGCCTGTAATCCCAGCACTTTGGGAGGCCAAGGAGGGTGGATCACCTGAGGTCAGGAATTCAAGACCAGCCTGGCCAACCCTGTCTCTACTAATAATTCAAAAATTAGCCGGGCGTGGTGGCGGGCTCCTGTAATCCCAGCTACTAAGGAGGCTGAGGTAGAAGAATCGCTTGAACCCGGGAGGCAGAGGTTGCACTGAGCCAAGATCGCGCCATTGCACTCCAACCAGGGCACTAAGAGCGAAACTCCGTCTCAAAAAAAAAAGAGAGAGACCTGGATTCCAGTCACACCTCTGCCATTAACTTGCTGTGTGGCCTTTTGAAATTTCCTTATCCTTTTTAGGCCTGGTTCCTCAGCTGTAGTTCTACTATTCATTAATTCCACTAATATTTACTGACCACTGCGTGCTGGCACTGTGGTTAAGTACTAGAAATACTGGGGTGAATACTAACAGCCAGTACTTTTTAGTAAACGCTTACTCTAGGCCTGAAATTTTGCTAACGGAGTCATATGCACTATCTCATCTAATTTTCTATGAAATAGGCACTACTGTGACATTTTCTGTACTTTACAAATGAGGGAACTGAGGCACAGCGAGGTGAAGTAACTTTCCCAGAATATCAAAAGGTGTGGTGAAGACAGGATTGGATTCCAGGCAGTGGGGCTTCAGATCTCATTCCAGTAATCATAAGAAACCCCTGATGCCATAATTGCATGACTATTTCAGTGGCCTGCGTTTTGGTCTCAGCCCAGGAGTACTAGGGGAGTGGGCAATATGAGGGTTCAAGGACGCAGGGGTACATCAGAGAAACCATCAAGAGGTCTGATAACAAGCGACACTGGGAGCAAGAATCTCTCGCTCTCGCAATTTCCATGCCAGGAAGATGAAGTAGGAGGTGTCAGCGAGTCGTATGCACGACCTCCTCTCTGGGCGTTCCGTTGGGTAAAGGGGAGCGTACGGGTCACGTAGGCCTAAAGCACGTCTCTGAACTCGGTAGGGGGCGGGGAGAAAGGGCACGCAGTGTGAGCGCAATGTGCGCGCAGCGTGCGCGCCGGCCCTTCCGACGCCTGAGCGGGCGGTCAAACGGACGGCTCCGCCCAGCCGCGGGCTCCTTTGCCCCGCCTTCGCGGCGCCCGTTTCCTGGCCCTCCCCACCTTAAGCGAGACCAACGAGAGGACACCGCCTGCGGCTAGAACATCCGGCCAGGAGCGCAACCGAGTGGCGCGCCAACGTGAGAGGAAACCCGTGCGCGGCTGCGCTTTCCTGCCCCTAAGCCGTTGTAGACGCGGGTGAGTGGCGGGGCCTTGACCCCCACCCCGAGCGCTCCCTGACTCCCCTCCGTCTCTTGGGGGAGGCCTGGGCCCCAGCCCTCTCCCAGCATGCTCCACGCGGGATGCTTGGGCAGGTGCAGCGGGAGGCTTGTCAGCACAGGAGACCGAGAGCCTTCTTCCTGGGGGCGCTCTCTTGGTCCTTCAGAGGGATCTCTAGGTTACCATGTCCTCCCTCTCACTTTTCTTCCCTATTTCGTCTTCCTTTTCCGTACTTCACCTCAACTACCTTCACCCAAAAAGGTTCCTCTAAAAACCATTGGGGTAGTTTCAGTTTCATTTATGCTCGTGTGCAGTTTTAAATTTCCTTCTGCACAAAGTATCCTATCATATGCATCGCTACTGTTACATTTTTTGCCTCTCTGATGGGGAAAAAAATCTCCTTAGAATAATTTTTGCAAATTATTGTGTTTAAAATGTGTAGACTTACTGAGTTTTGATCCCTATTTTTGCAGCCAGGAGTAGGATCGCCATCAGGAAGAATTCTGACACATATAACATAATTGAGCAAAGAAACTGTGTGAATTATGTATTGGCCAGAAATAATGAAAACTGCGTGACATGAAATACAAAAATCCTATATAAATTAATTTTAGGGTACACCTAACAAATTTTTTGTTTGTTTGTTTTGAGACAGAGTCTCGCTCTTGTCGCCCAGGCTGGAGTGCTGTGGCGCGATCTTGGCTTACTGCAACCTCCATCTCCCGGGTTCAAGCGATTCAGCCTCCTGAGTAGCTGGGATTACACTCATATGTCACCATGCCCGGCTAATTTTTGTATTTTTAGTAGAGACAGGGTCTCACCATGTTAGCCAGGCTGGTCTTGAACTCCTGACCTCAGGTGATCCACCCGCCTCGGTCTCCCAAAGTGTTAGGATTACAGGCGTGAGCCACCGTCCACAGCCGACAATTCTAATATTATGCAGCACTTGTTTTCTGTCACTTCTCTTCTTAGAACTGTGTTTATTGACCAAGTTCTGTGAGTGACAGAGGAAAGCCTTCCTGCCTCTTGCGCCACCCACCACTCAGAAATTACATCTGTCAAGCTATTCCACACCTTGTCTTTCTGGTAAAGTCAAAATTCCATTTCCTCTAGAAGAAAACTATAGGAGTGGTTTCCTTGTAACAATATGGTGCTGTTGGGTGCAAAACATCAGTTATGGTCAACAGATCCCACTTTTTTTCCATTTGTATGAAAACAAGGATATTCAGTAACCCATTTATCAAACTCTAATGTGGTAGAAGCACTATGGCAGTTATTCTGTAATGGAAAAAAAAACATTAAACTGATTCGAGAAATGTGGTTTCTAATCCACTTCTACCACTGTCTGACTGTGTGACTGAATCAGTTACTTAACCTCTGTGGACTTCCATTTCCTCTCTGTAGAATGAGAGAAGTGACTGACCTTGGGTAGCTTTCTAAGGCTCCTTTCAACCATAAGAGAAAACGGGGAAATCTAAGTAGCTCAATAGATCGCTTTTTTCTGAAGATGGAGGGAAGATTGGAAAATTCAGCCTTTACTAGAATAAATGGTTAACATACAATTTTTTTGAACAAGTGTATTTAATATCAGCTTTTAATTTCTTTTATTTATTTTTTTTTTCTGAGATAGAATCTCACTCTGATGCCCTGGCTAGAGTGCCATGGTGAGATCACAGCTCACTGCAGCCTCCACCTCCCAAGTTCAAGAGATTCTTGTGCCTCAGCCTCCTGAGTAACTGGGATTACAGGCACCCACCACCACATCTGGCTAATTTTTTGTATTTTGGGTAGAGAGAGGGTTTCACCATGTTGCCCAGGCTGGTCTCGAACTCCTGAGCTCAAGGGATCCACCCACCTCAGCCTCCCAAAGTGCTGAGATAACAGCCATGAGCCACTGCACCCAGCTCTTAATTTCTAATTGAAATAAAAGTGTAAAGTTTTCCGTTTTTACTTCCCCAAAGAAGAAGAAAATTCGTTTTGAGGAAATAAAAATGTTTATTAATAGGCCCCAGATATGTCTATCAATATTCCTTTTTCATCCAAAAAATGTAACTTTTTATTACAGGCTTCTATTACATCAATAGTTGGGATACTGTATTGGAAACCATTTAGTTTTAGGAACAAAAGGGTAGATATTAACATATATGATGTTATTCTCAAGAAACTTGGTTTAGATTTACTCAAAACACAAGGACAGCAGCCATCAGTTAAAGAAAGCACTATGTTGAGAACAGAAATGTCAGCACAATACCATTGGTGATTTGCCATTTATAGGTGGTTTTATCTATTCAATCCAAGGTTTTGGTGTAAAAATCCATTATATTTTTAGAGGTATTTAAATAATGCAAGCTTGTGATGTGAAATTCTTTAAAGAGAACGGTGGATGGATAACCTCTGTAACACTGGTTTCAAGGGTTTATTAAATCCCCATAGATGAAGTGCAAAACAAATTCTCCATAGAGGAGTTGTTGCAAAGTTCCAGTTTATATCAAACAGTAATGAGATTCCATTGGAAGCTAAAGATTTTGAGAGTCTTTTGTACTATATGCAACTAACTTGATTTCAAGCTTGGGAACCTTTAAAAAAAAATTAAGAGCAAAATATAAGTATATAAGGAATACCAAATCAAATTTATAGACTAATCCTTTTCTATTAAGTATTTTAAGAGTCTTTTTCTTCTTTATAGGAAAAATGCTTTCTGAAAGCAGCTCCTTTTTGAAGGGTGTGATGCTTGGAAGCATTTTCTGTGCTTTGATCACTATGCTAGGACACATTAGGATTGGTCATGGAAATAGAATGCACCACCATGAGCATCATCACCTACAAGCTCCTAACAAAGAAGATATCTTGAAAATTTCAGAGGATGAGCGCATGGAGCTCAGTAAGAGCTTTCGAGTATACTGTATTATCCTTGTAAAACCCAAAGATGTGAGTCTTTGGGCTGCAGTAAAGGAGACTTGGACCAAACACTGTGACAAAGCAGAGTTCTTCAGTTCTGAAAATGTTAAAGTGTTTGAGTCAATTAATATGGACACAAATGACATGTGGTTAATGATGAGAAAAGCTTACAAATATGCCTTTGATAAGTATAGAGACCAATACAACTGGTTCTTCCTTGCACGCCCCACTACGTTTGCTATCATTGAAAACCTAAAGTATTTTTTGTTAAAAAAGGATCCATCACAGCCTTTCTATCTAGGCCACACTATAAAATCTGGAGACCTTGAATATGTGGGTATGGAAGGAGGAATTGTCTTAAGTATAGAATCAATGAAAAGACTTAACAGCCTTCTCAATATCCCTGAAAAGTGTCCTGAACAGGGAGGGATGATTTGGAAGATATCTGAAGATAAACAGCTAGCAGTTTGCCTGAAGTATGCTGGAGTGTTTGCAGAAAATGCAGAAGATGCTGATGGAAAAGATGTATTTAATACCAAATCTGTTGGGCTTTCTATTAAAGAGGCAATGACTTACCACCCCAACCAGGTAGTAGAAGGCTGTTGTTCAGATATGGCTGTTACTTTTAATGGACTGACTCCAAATCAGATGCATGTGATGATGTATGGGGTATACCGTCTTAGGGCATTTGGGCATATTTTCAATGATGCATTGGTTTTCTTACCTCCAAATGGTTCTGACAATGACTGAGAAGTGGTAGAAAAGCATAATATGATCATTGTATAAGACATGTGTTGTCATTATTTGTAGTAGTAACTACATATCCAATACAGCTGTATCTTTCTTTTTCTTTTCTAATTTGGTGGCACTGGTATAACCACACATTAAAGTTAGTAGTACATTTTTAAATGAGGGTAGTTTTTTTCTTTAAAGCACATGAACATTGTAAATGTGTTGGAAAGAAGTGTTTTAAGAATAATAATTTTGCAAATAAAGTATATATTAATATTATATTTATGTGATAAATTCTAAATTATGAACATTAGAAATCTGTGGCACATATTTTTGCTGATTGGTTAAAAAAATTTTAACAGGTCTTTAGCATTCTAAGATATGCAAATGATATCTCTAGTTGTGAATTTGTGATTAAAGTAAAACTTTTAGCTGTGTGTTCCCTTTACTTCTAATACTAATTTATGTTCTAAGCCTCCCCAAGTGCCAATGGATTTGCCTTCTCAAAATATACAACTAAGCAACTAAAGAAAATTAAAGTGAAAGTTGAAAAATATGCCTAAGAAAAAAAACTGAAAATTACTTACAAAATTGAGTAATTTTCCTGGAAGCTAATTTAGTGTCATTCCTCAGAGCATACGCAATTTCAGTGTAACTATCTGTACTTCAGCATGCAGATACTGACATTGGATTGGTGCCTATGAAGAATGTCATGTCATTTAATTGTGTTGTTTCTCAGTTAATCAAGCTCCCAGCTGCAATCTGGATAAAGATGTGCTCCTGCTGGGTCAGTGAGTTCTGTGGAAATTTGAAGAACTTGTTTTGGCCATCTGGCAATTTCACTTACCTGAGTTGAATCTGTTCTGTATTTTGTTTTGTTTTGTTTTTTTGACACAGAGTCTTGCTCTGCCGCCCAGACTGGAGTGCAATGGCACAATCTCGGCTCATTGCAACCTCTGCCTCCTGGTTTCAAGCAGTTCTCTTGCCTTAGCCTTCCAAGTAGCTGGGATTACAGGTGCCCACCACCACGCCCGGCTAATTTTTTGTATTTTTAGTAGAGATGGGATTTCGCCATGTTGGCCAGGCTGGTCTCAAACTCCTGACCTCAGGTGATCTACCCACCTTGGCCTCCCAAAGTTCTGAGATTACAGGCATAAGCCTCTGTGCCCATCCTGTTCTGGATTTTGTTTCCTTGTTCAAGTTTAGGGATTTTTCCCATATTCACGGCTGTACCATATCTGTTTTCATTGTGGAGGTCCTAACCTATCTACTTTGCGTTATCATACCTTTTCCCAAATTTCAATGGCTACTCAGAAACTTAATCTAGTGGTAGATGCAATAGCTCCTGTACTGATAAATGTGTGAAATGCTTAGAGCTGACTTGTTCTATAATCCGGCCAGCACATGCTGTAAGTCCCCATAGAGTGTTAGAGCATGACATTTTAGAGATCAATATTTCCTGTAACGGGCCTCATGATGGTAATGGTCTCCCACAGCTTTAGCAAACCAGAAAGAAAATTTCCTTAAGAAGGCCTTGGGCTTGAAGTTATTGATCCTCAGGGTGGTGTGTAAAACTTTGGTTTATTTCTGATTTTTCTTATTAAGGGTTTTGGTTAAGATGAAGCGTTATTAGTTTTGAAGAATAACAAAACCCCTTTATGAAGCCCCCTAATATGTGGTCTCAGATGCAGTTACTACAATCAAATCATGTTCAGTGTGAGTATAGTAATAAACAGTATCTCTCAGAGTGTGACACAGCTTATGTGTCACCTCGCCCCCAACACCAGTATATTTAAAATTTTTCTATTGCATTTATCATCTTCACTTACATTAGTATATCAGAGTATCATAATAAACATGTCAGAATGCATTACATTATTTGTTCTGCTAATGAGTACTAAGATAACATTGCCTTTTAAACTAAATTGATGCTCTTGATTGTATCTTTATACATGAGTGGTTTTTTTGTTTGTTTGTTTGTTTGTTTTTTGGGGTTTTTTTTGAGACCGAGTTTTGCTCTTGTTGCCCAGGTTGGAGTGCAATGGCGCAATCTCGGCTCACTGCAACCTCTGCCTCCCAGGTTCAAGCTATTCTCCTGCCTCAGCCTCACGAGTAGCTGGGATTACAGGCATGTGCCACCACGCCTGGCTAATTTTGTATTTTTAGTAGAGATGGGGTTTCTCCATGTTGATCAGGCTGGTATCGAACTCCTGACCTCAGGTGATCCACACACCTCAGCCTCCCAAAGTGCTGGGATTACAGGCGTGAGCCGCTGCGCCCAGCCAATACGGAAGTATTTTTTTAACAAAATGTTAGGTGTCTCAAATAATATGCTGTCTCTCTGAACTTACTTGCAGCCAGTCTTGTAGATAAAATCTGAATCAATAACAGAAAATAGTACTACTGAGGTTGTGGTTACAGATTTGATCACCATATACGTCTGTTAGCTTTACGTAGAAAAATAATATATTCAGTAACCAAAAACAATAACCGTAACCCCACTCATGATGAGAGAGCTGGAAAGAATGGAGGTCTGATGGAAATTGATCGGGATTGTGAATATACTCTACATATGGCTAGTGGCTGTCATATTGGACAGCACAGGTCTAAGCAATTCTAAGTGTAAGATCCCACTCCTGACTGAGATGTGAATAAGAGAAAATGTGAAGTTTCCTTTAAAAGTTGTGTTTGTTTGTCTGGTTGTCTCAAATGCAATGGAAACCACAGCATGACTTTTAGCAGGCCCCAGACCATTGCCTTATGTGAGTTAAATCACTGGATCTTCCTTTTCAAAAGTAAAACATTGGATCTGGAGCAAAATATAGATTTAGACCCCTTGGCTGTTTTCTGGGGGCGGTGGGCTGGTGGGGGAGTAAGCTAAAAGGTTGCTTGTGTATCAAATCTGATTCATAATGCTCAGATTTTTCTATAATGCATTTAAACAAACTCAGTTATTGGATGTTCTTAAAGCAGAGCACACCTGTAATAGAAAAGTTGCTGAAAATAGAGTCTGTTGATGATGTACCACTAGTTTCCCTTTCATTTGTTAAGAATATTGTGTTCTGGCTGGGCATGGTGGCTCACGCCTGTAATCCCAGCACTTTGGGAAGCTGAGGCTGGTGGATCACCTGAGGTCAGAAATTCGAGACCAGCCTGGCCAACATGGTGAAACCCTGTCTCTACTAAAAATAGAAAAATTAGCTGGCGTGGTGGCGGGCACCTATAATCCCAGCTACTCGGGAGGCTGAGGCAGAAGAATTGCTTGAACCTGGGAGGTGGAGGTTGCAGTGAGCCAAAATCATGCCATTGCACTGCAGCCTGGGGGACAAGAGCGAGACTCCATCTCAAAAAAAAAAAAAAAAAAAAGTATATATATTGTGTTCCTTTTGGTATGGGCTGACTTTGATGCACTCAGTACTTGCCTGAGTGGTTATGTGAGAAGCATATGTTTATAGAAGTTAGCTTTCTTTTGGCATACAAAGACATTCAGCCATGTTTATCAACTCCCCCCCAAAAAAATATTGCCCCAAATTTTAAAAATAACTATACTTGACAGTTTTTACAAGTTTGAAAAAAATTACAAAAAATTACTCAATAATTCTAATATCCCTAAAAATAAAATACTATAAAGCATTTAAAGGGTAATGGGAAAATGACTTGTTTGGAAAGTATAAAATGATGAAATGGTGTATCTCTAGGGTCTCTACCATAATAAAAAAAAAATCCAGCTTTACTAGTGTGGCATCCATACACTATAATTTTGTGTATATTGGGTGTCTATGAGGTCAACAGTAGGCAGTAGGCCTGGTACTTTGTGGAAAGCAAAAGGAACCCAAACTCATAATTCATCATAGTCAAATAATCATTTCACATAAGCTTTGCATGAGCAGTAAGACAAACTGTAATTTAGTAATGTAGTATTAGAATATAGTGGTCAGCTCTGGATTTGATAGTTTTTTATTTGTTTTTTTGCCCAGACTGGAGTGCAGGCACGGTCTTGGCTCACTGCAGCCTTGCAACCTCTGCCTCCTGGGTTCAAGCATTTCTCCTGCCTCAGCCTCCCAAATAGCTGAGATTACAGGCATGTGACACCACACTCGGCTAATTTTTGTATTTTTAGTAGAGATGGGGGTTCACCATGTTGGCCAGGCTGGTCTCAAACTCCTGACCTCAAGTAATCCACCCGCCTTGGCCTCCCAAAATGCTGGGATCACAGGCATGAGCCACTGCGCCCTGCCTGATAAATGCTATTTCTTCTAACCCACATAGTTCCCATTTCTTTAGGTTTCTACTGATAACATGCAAGAATAGCCACATTAGTTATGCCATTGCTTTGGAAATTTGGCAAAAACCCTAGCAGAAAGAGCAGGACTTAAAAATAAGACTCAGGTTTTAGAGAGATAAATAGGAGGGATAACTGCCTTTAAAAAGTGACAGACTTCCATTAGAAAAAAAGAAAAAATGCTTTGATCTAGTGAGTGAATGATAGAGACATCCACCTAGTTTCCCCAAGTGTTGAATTAATAGAAATATTCCAGTAGTCAAAATACCACCCCTGTACCATCTGAGGGGAAGAGGGAAAAACTTCCTGGCTTGATGGAAGACTGAATGCTGGCACTGATCTTTTTCATACTTAACCACTTTAAAGCACTTGCCTGTAGCACGAAGCTTCAGGGAATACTGCCTATTCTTCAACCCATCGCCGTACAACAGATAAAACATGAGCCATATATAAACATGAAATATAATTTCACATTTTCTTTTTTCTTTTTTTTTTGAGACAAAGTCTGTGTCGCCCTGGCTGGAGTGCAGTGGAGCGATCTCGGCTCACTGCAAGCTCCGCCTCCCGGGTTCACGCCATTCTCCTGCCTTGGCCTCCTGAGTAGCTGGGACTACAGGCACCCGCCACTACGCCCGCCTAATTTTTTTTTCTATTTTTAATAGAGATGGGGTTCCACCATGTTAGGGATGGTCTCGAACTCCTGACCTCGTGATCCGCCTGCCTTGGCCTCCCAAAGTGCTGGGATTACAGGCGTGAGCCACCGCGCCCAGCCTTTAATTTCACATTTTCTAATAGTCACATTTAAAAAGTAAAGACACAGGTGAAACTACTTTTAGTAATATATTTTATTTAACCCAAATATATCCAAAATATTATCATTTCAACATGTAACCAACAGGAAAGAATAGTTTACATTATTTATAAAGTCTTTGAAATCCAGGGTGTATTTTACAGTTAAGCACATCTTAATTCAGACTAGTCACATTTCAAGTATTCAGTAGCCACATACGGATGGGCAGTGGCTACCATATTAGATAGCATAGGTCTAAGCAAGTCCAGAAGTATGAGACCCCAAGGGCTAAATGTGAATGGGTGAAAACTTAAAGTTTCTTCTAAAAGTTTATTAATTTTTTTGATTTTCTTTAATGCAATGCA